CTATGACAGTCTGCAATACAATAAAAAATTACTTAAGTCCCTTTTGTTTATTATTGTATTTCATAGTAGTACGCACGCGCTGAATTTGAGAATCTTCAGTGTTGCCGGTTAGAAGCAAAATAACTAAACGAAATATATTTCCGTACTTTATTAAGTTTTAATAAATAAATTAAATAAATTTAAAATAATTACTCACCACATTTATGTTAAATAGGTATACTAGGTATACTAATTAATTAAGTATTAAAGATTTAATAATATAACCGCCATTTTGATGAGCTTTCTGAAATTATTATCTGACAACACTGCCGCCGAACACAAAAGATAAAGAAGCGTCCTTTTTCTATGGTAGCGTCCGTTTAATATGATGCCATGATTGTTAGGTACATGCAAAGGGTTTTCATGTTTATTTGCTTCATTCCACAGATTGTAAAGGTTCATTCGCCATCATTGCTATTTTTTATATGTTTGTCATAAAGTTTACTGCCAAGTTATTGTGTTTTGTGGTTATTTGTTTGAGGTCTATAGTGGTAAGTGAATATTTTATTAATTTTCTAATCATAGTTATCATTTTAAATTGTATTGGTCTAAAACTAATACAATTTTAAATTAAATAGGTACCTATATTTAAGTGCAATTTATAAACTTTCGGTTAGCATTGAAGGTAAAACCATTCTTTACTCAATGGTAAAACATTAAAGGTGAATACATGCATGCATTTATATACCGTACCTTAATAAATTTATTTGCAAGCTATACATAGGCTCGAGGGTAACAAATGGGCTGATGGATTGGCCAAATTTTGGGGATCATAAGGAGACAGGTGAAATAGGCCCTAAATGATTAGGCTGATAAAAAGGCAAATGACAGCTGGAGGAGTGATGGCAAGCCAGAGACTTCACTTCTTTAGTTATATGTAGTTTTCTGTTCTTTTTTATGTTTTCATAAAAATAAATATTTAAATTAAAGAATAAGACTTTTATTTTAAAACCCAATGTTATTTATTGAAAAGTAAATATCCATTGATTCACCATATCCAATACAGATGACAACCATATTGCATTAAATACCCTATCCATTGGATATCCATACAATCTCCATATTGAATACAGATTACAACCTTATTGCATACAATACTATATCCATTGGATATCCACACTATGTCCAGGAGGGTCGGACATTTATATATCCAATGGTTATCCATTGGATATCCTATGTATATACTGGATATCCATAAAAGAAATCCATTGGATATCCATTGGATGTAATTGTTCCGTGTGGGGTAACTAGTCAATGATTTTTAACGCAAATATATATACCTATAGGTATGTAACTACCCACTGGGAAAAATAATATTTCTACAATGTTACTGAACGTTACATTTGTTAGATGTAATGTTACAAAAATCCTTGTTGCAATGTTGCAGGAACATTGCAACAAAGCCTTATGTCCGGCTCAGGAACATTACATTTACAAATAAAATGTTGCTTAAATGTATTAATTGCAATGTTACTAAATGTTATTTTTGTTAATGTAAGATCCCTGCAACATTACATTTGTTAGGTGTAATGTTACAAAAATCCTTGTGGAAATGTTGCAGGAACATTGGAACAAAGCCTTATGGTTCAGGAACATTACATTTACAAATAAAATGTTGCTTAAAGGCAAATTGCAATGTTACTTAATGTTATTTTTGTTAATGAAAGGTTCCTGCAACATTACAGGAACATTGCAATTAAATTAATATGAATTATTATAATAATAATAATAATAATTAATTATAATTATTTACCCGCAAGCTATACCCACCAACACTGACAGACAGACTGTTTCGACCTGTTTGGTCTCATCAGTGTCAGGCAGTCGGTGACGGGAGACACGCATCAAGCTCGGACTGTTCACTTATAAAGATATAAATGACCAAGACAGCGGCGAGATGCATCGGCAAGTCAGTCTGCAAACAACATTGCAAAAATTATCTTAATGCAATATTTCGAATAAAACATAGTCCAAAACTAAAGTTATAATTATAAATGTAATATTATAGTTACAATGTTCCAAAAATCTTGCAAATTAAATTTTTATAAGCATATAATATAATATATATATATTGTTTATAAAAAGCAACATTTCAAAAATCATCTTAATGTAATATTTAGGATGAAACATTGCCCAAAACTTATCAATGTAATATTATAATTGCAATGTTTCAAAAATCTTGCGAATTAAATGTTTATATTGTTTATATAAAGCAACATTGCAAAAATCATCTTAATGTAATATTTCGGATGAAACATTGCCCAAAACTTATCAATGTAATATTATAATTGCAATGTTTCAAAAATCTTGCAAATTAAATGTTTATATTGTTTATATAAAGTAACATTGCAAAAATCATATTAATGTATTATTTCGGATGAAACATTGCCAAAAACTTATCAATGTAATATTATAATTGCAATCTTCCAAAAAACTTGCAAATTAAATGTTTATATTGTTTATATAAAGTAACATTGCAAAAATCATCTTAATGTAATATTTCGGATAAAACATTGCCCAAAACTTATCAATGTAATATTATAATTGCAATGTTTCAAAAATATTCCTAAACATTCCAAAATAAATGTTTCTATTGTATTTAAAGTAAAGTTGCAAACATTTTTCATTGGAAACTTGTGTTAATATTTCAATTGAAACATTGAAAAAAGTTATGTCTGCAATATTATAATTGTTATGTTTAAAAACTTTAATGCAACATTTTATACTAAATCTTACAAATATAACATTGTAAAATCTTTCAATATGCAATATTTCAAATGTAATATTTCATTTATGTTAATGCAAGTAGCACAGGAAATATTTTATTTGTAAGGTCGGCGAACATTGCAGCAATATTTTGTAAGGTTTCTTTCCCAGTGGGTATAGTTATATATTGCAATACCGCTTAGGCAGGGCCGGATTTAGCACGGGGCCAGCGGGGCCAAGGCCCTAGGGCCCCCACCATTTAGGGGCCCCCACCAATGCAATATGTAGCTTTTTAATGAAACAAATATGAAAAAAATTGGAGAAAAAAACAAAAAATCCTGTTATTTTCAATTAATTTTCCGTAGACCTAACTCTAATTTTTCGCGGATTTTTTATCGCTTATCCGCTTGCAAATCAGAATGTAAATTATCACACTCAAAGTTTTGTCGCGCTAAGACGTTTTATAAAGTCTATAGTCATAAGTTATGACTCATAACAATTTTAAGCAGTTGCTCGTTTAGTGCTTGTTGTAACGTTTTTGTAAATACAGGCAAAAAGTCAATTATTTATAATCTAATATTAAAGTTGGTTTTTGTCCCAGATTTTTATTGGTACATTGGAGTGTTGTGGAATATTTTCCGGTATTTCCAAAATACTGTTTCGTGCATTTTGTACAAAAGATTGTTTTATTGTTTGATTTTGTATGAAAAACAGACAAATAATACGATCTTTGATGCACTTTTTTCAGTTTGCGGTATGTATTAAAAATACAAACAAAACGTAGATCAATTTATATTTTACTTGATTAAAATGTATTCGTATTCGTATTATTCAAAATATATAAAATATAAAGTATATAAAAACACTTTCATTCACAATTCTATTCTACTTTCTACGTTTTTATAGTTTTGCATACGAATTTATAATTTATTCAGACTTGGGTAAAATGTATATAAGGTTATGTTCGTATTATTCCAAATATACAGGGTGATTTAGACTTGTGGTGACAAAAGCCCAGGAGAAATTCCTCTCATCAAAATATGAAAAAAGGTTCTTATAAACACGTGTCCAAAAATGCTTCATTATCGAGATACAGGGTGTTTCAATGAGTTTTTTATTTATAGCTTAAAAACGCTAAATGATTCAAGGATAATAAAAAATCACGTAAAGTTCATCTAGCTTAAAAATTTACCATGAGTTTTAATTTCCCAAGTGTCAAAATTTTTAGAATAATTGAGGGCTCCCACCAAATGTCGGCCCCAGGGCCCTAAAACTCTTAATCCGGCCCTGCGCTTAGGTACAAACGTAGCAAAATGAAATTTGGTATTTAGATTGTGTACCTATATATATTTTTTACATTAATAAAATAATAAATTGAAATAAGTTCATTGAAACATTTTCTTAAAATAAATAAATGTATGTACAAAAAACATGCCAATATCAAGTCTCATTTTTGCCAAGTTTGTATCTAAACGGTATGCAACCAAGATAGCACACAAAGTCTTGAAGATGACTTTTGTATGTCAGTATTATGCCTCAACGTCTTTTGATAGTTCTCTTAGTTAGTCTATGGTTCTCTTAAAGATATCTTTATTTAATGTCCTGGGTACCTTTTAACAAAAATTTCCAGACTGACCCAAACACGAAATAAAAATAAAAATAGCTGCACAGAACATGTAAATTATTTTTACTGTGTGAGTATTTATTGGCCCATTACAAAGGTAGTTTCATTGTTAATAATGGCATTTTTAGCCAATGCTTGGTACATTTCAGTGAAATTTGGTACATTTTAAAAGTCGAATTTGGTACTTTATCTTTCCAACCACTGGCAACACTGCCCATACGGGATTCTATAAATGGCACTACGATTTTCGTATTGTTCATCTTTTACGGGAGGAAGGAAGAAAGGCAATCTATAAATCAGGCTTAACAGTTTTAGCTTTAAATCAGGTAAACAGTTTCCAATAAATGACCTATCCAAAACATTGAATAAAAAATGTATTTTTATTCAAGACCCAAAATGTATTTAATAGAACTTACTGAAAATAGATGGCGCTATAGCAACAAAAAAACATATACTTACCATATCCTTTTTCTATGCTTACCTTCTTACCACACGGGTAAGGTGTAAGTATATGAAAAAAAGTTACCTTTTTCTAAATCTGTTACCTTTTTAAAGACGAAGTTGTTACCTTCAATTAAACCAGCCTGGCAACAGTGTTGCCGCAACACTGATAAAAAAGTATAGAAGAAGAGGAAGAAGTGCAATTAAATAAAAAGAATGCCCAATAAATACTGTTACATTTGTGGTAGAATCAATAATCAAATTTCCTTGCACAAGTGAGACAACTAAATGTATTATACATACCTACCTGTAATAAATAACTTTGCAGATTTCCAAAAGATGAAAACCTTAAAAGGTTTTGGTTAGAAAGTTGCGATTTAAACGAAGCAGATAAAGTGGACACCTTAAAATTGTGTTTCAAACATTTTACGCCTGAGGATTTTATCAATATTAAAGCTCGATCATTTGGTGGCCATCTGACCTTAAATAAAAATGCAGTCCCTTCTGTTGATGTACCCACAAAAGTAGTTAAACCATCCCCGAGTACTTTCACAGATGAGGAAATTTTTAAAAATACAACAACCATTAAGGAAGAAATAATTTTACAAGAAAATGAAAATAACTCCATTTCTAGTGATGTTACTATTGATAATATTATGATGGCTAATAATGAGCAAAACTCTAAAAATATTCAAGGTTAGTTTTTTATTTATCAATATCACATATCTATAACAAACTTTAAAAAAAATGTTAGAAGTAACAGATGTCAAAAATGACATTTTACAGATGTCAAAAATTGACATTTGACAGATGTCTAAAATGACATGTCAGTTGTCAAAAATCGTTAAATTACTTTTACCATAAATTATTATTAATTTTATGATTTTAGAATCTTCACCAAAAAAACGAAAATTTTTTGAAGCAAGATTTGTTTCTGAAATAGAAGATGCTGATTTAGAAAAACCTGAAATTGCCAGGAGGGCCATTTGATTGGCCAAAGATACGATATTAAAAAAAACAAAAAAAATTAAATCCCTGCAAGACTCAAACAGATCATTGAAAAAGAAAATAAAATCCCTAAATGATATAATTTGTCTACTTCGACAAAAAAAGAATAAATAAATGTAGCAAATGTCAAGGCATAAAAAATTGAGAAGACTTTTGTGTGATAGGTTCTGGTAAAAAGTTTATTCACAATAGTTTTAAACTTTTCTTTTAGAAAAACTACAAGATGATAATAACAAAGAAGATAATGAAATAAGACCAATTAAACGATTTTTTTAAACATTTGTGTTTTATTTTTTCTATCTATAAAAAGCAAATTTATGCCACTGTAGCAGACTCTTTGTACTTTAGTATCAGATAGAGACAGAAGGTATCAGAAACCAAAAAAACTTTAAAACATAGAAAAAGGATAAGAGATTAAAACGTCAGATTCTGAAGTTTAAAAAAAGAAAATTTCAGTGCTACCAATCAGCTCTAAGGTTATAAGTCATAACCTATAACTTATAGGTATATGATAACTTATGACTTCTTCACTCAACGGTTATGAGTCATAACTTATGATTTAATCGTAAACGAGCTTTTTTTACTTTTTTCTTAAAATTCTTTGGTTTATCTTATCTTTGAATTATTTTATAGATTAGTAAAACAAGTTTTGAGAGCAAATCGGTCAAGTCTGTTGGCAACCCTGCGCATCAGCAGTTACTTTCTTTTTCATTGAAAAATTTTCAAATTGTGGGTTATGTATGTTTATATCTACATTAGATTTTTATATATTTTATATATATAATATATTATATTGTATAAAGTGATTTATTGGAAATGTGATTGGAAAACAATTTAAGGCAATATTATACAAAGAAACTTTTCGCAGAGTATAATGAGCAAAGTAAAATTCTTACAGAACGTCAAAAAATATACACAACATAGCCCTAGAAACATAGCTAACATAAAAACATTTTGTTCTAAAAATTAACTATCTATAAGGTATGTATCTTGATAACTACCAAATCATAGTTTAAGCTGGACTATTGTTATTTAGCTGTGTTTTTCTAAAAAACGTAAAAATGGCAAAAACAAGTACAGAACGTAATAGAGAATGGAGGAAAAGACAAAAAAAGGCTCTATTAAATGATATGGCAAAAAAACAAAGTAAACAAAGTGATGTAAGGACCAAAAGTAACATTGAGAACAATGAAGGAAGTGCATTATCAAAGGGACATGAAACGGACATCATTAATGGAAATCCAGCAGAGCCATCTACAAGCACAAGTCAACTACAAACTGATATACCAAATCAAATGTACGTATTCACTTTCACTTTTGACACCTGTCACCAAACTGTCAACAGTTTCAAGCATAATTTAATTATACCTAAATAAGATTGTCCTGAATAAAACACCGCATTGTGGAAGCCATTTTTTTTTAATTAAAAAAATGCTTTTATGTCATTTGCAATAGTTTATTTCAAATTATTTATCTTTAACGAAATCATTCAGGATGCCAAGGGCTAATTCTTTAACGATGCTCCTATGGAAATTTAGAGCGCGACAAAACCTTAGGCAAAGAAAACCAATTGGACAACCTCAGGGGAATCACCCAGAAGCAGCTGATCGCCAGCGCCGCCAACGTCAAAATCTAATAGATCCCGATTTAAGTGAGTTTTATATTTTAATTGCTATTCATTGTTGTTTATTCCAAGCCAATTTAGGCAACATTGCTTTTGCATCTTTGATTTTTTTCTTTAAGTAGGTACTATCAGAGCTGGGAAAGTTACTTCTGAAAAGTATCTAAGTAGTTACTTTTCTAAGATACTTTAAACAAAATAACTTACTTACCTCTGGTTACTAGATACTTCAAGTTAAAAGTATCTTTAGTCACAAGATACTATCCAAAAGTATCCAAGATACATTTAAGTAACTAAGATACTTTTGAGTAACCAAGTTACTTTTAAGTTTTAATAAAAACTATAAAGTTATAAAATTCAACAAGTTGTAGGTTAGGTAATTACTTTGAATCATTCTGGAATTTCCCCAATTTTCTCTAAGAAAGTATCTAAGTTACCCTGAAAAGTATCTAAGTTACTTTAAAAAGTATCTTAGTTACTTTAAAAAGTATCTTAGTTACTTTAAAGTATCAAAGTTACTTGAATGAATCTTAGTTACTTTACCGAGTTACTTAGATACTTTTTTAAATACAAGTTACAAGATACTTTTCCAAAGTAACTTAGTTAAAGATACTTTCTGTCCAATATAAAAAGTATCTAAGATAAAGATCTTAGATACCTACTTAAAGTATCTAAGTTACTTTCAAGTATCTTCTTTTTCAAGATACTCCCATGGGAGTAGTACCCAGAGCTGCAGCTCTGGGTACTATCAAAGACATGGGTACTATCAAAGACAAGGGATCCCTTGTATGTGGGTACTACAGTACCAGTATACTGCCCTACTATGGAGAAAGGCAAGTAACTGCTAAACAAGAAATTTGTGAAAAATTAGCATTAACTACATTTTTATAAAAAGCAGTAGGTATTTAATTGATTTTTTTAACTTATGAGATATTTGACTGCATTTATGTGCTGAATTCGGTTACAAAATGTCCATAGCTTTACCATAGCACAAGAAAACGCATTTTACATTTTTTTGCAGTTACTGCCTTTCTCCATAGTAGGGCAGTATACTGGTTGAAAGTCTCAACTTGAGACTAGTCTCCATAATAAGAGATTGGTCCAATTTTTTTGAAATTACGTAACTTTTTTTGAGATGCTCATGACCCCATAAATAAATGGCCAAGTTGCATTTTTTTTATAATACAATATCGATTTTTTTCTAAACAATGATTTTCAAGTTTCAAAAATAGGAATTTTTCATCGGATATCAAATAAAGTAATATTTAATGGTTAAGTGTAAGATTGATTTTTATAATCAAACTTCGCCATTTTGATATATGTATATAAGTATGTATGTCAAATAAAGTCGTTTATTATTATTATTATTAATATATTTATCTACGCCAGTGAGATAAGAACTTCTTATCCCACTCATTTTGAGTGAGATAAAAAGTTCATTAACGCACGCGTTTTTCTCTGCTTTTAACCAATCAAATAAAAAAGTCAAAATATCAAAATAACCCTAAATTAAGTCTTAGACAAAAATAATTACCGTTTATTTTTTCATTTAGAGGCGTAGATAAAAATTTGTACAATATACGTGTGATAACGCTTTATTAACGTACTTTTGCGATTGCCCAACTCGTGCTACGCACTCGTTGGGCAAATTTCGCATGCGTACGTTAATAAAGCTCTTATCCCACTTATATCGTAAATAACTATTAACGCATTGGGTTTATATCAAAGATTTTATATTACATAATGAAATATACCAATATTCTGTCACACCACCATTTTTCCAATGCTGCCACTTCTCAATGTGAAAAGACGCTAATTTCATTAGGAATTGCCCGCAGCGTATGCAACCAACAATATATTATGGCACATGTTAAAAATATATATGGATAAACTGCTAAAAATATAAATGGTAACTGTTGGGGAAATATAAATAACTTTGTGTTAATTAATAATATATATTGACGAATATTTTAATGTTATTTGACAATTTATAATTTTATTTCTTAAAGAAATGATTTATAATTTTTATTTACATTTATATATTTTTAAAATGATGTTTTTCATTCATATATTTTTTATTATGGCACAAACGGCGCCTCATAAGATTGTGCCACTGTCATTGTTTTATATTTATATATATTATTTTTATATATTTTACTGAAATTTTACGAAAATTGAAGAAACTTCATCAAAATTTTATGAGCCAAAAGCATTTTTTATCCGTTTTCCGATGCAATTATACCAAAAGTAAAAGTTTAAATTAACATGACTTTTAAAAAAAATGTTAAGTCTGATTTAATTTACAAATTAAATTGGTAACTGAATTAAATTAATTTATGCATATAAGTAACAGTAATTACTTATAGTGTATTCAAATCCAAGCCGAACTAAACAAAAACGCCCAGACGCTTGATAACTGGTTCTTATTGGTCGATTCGGAATCTGTTGTAAATTATTATTAAAGGTCCCAGGGGAGGCCGCATGTGAAATTTATGCGGAATTTTCAGTAAATTTCGAAACTTTCAATGAAATTTCTGAAAGTTTCGCAGGCAATGTTGAAATTTTCGGATTGAAAAGTTCATTTGAAATTTTTAAAAATTTCACTTTTCCAACTAAATGAAATATTTCAAGTTTAAAACTTTCAAAGTTGAAATTTTCATTTGAAAATTTCAACTGTCCCAACCCTATCTACAATCTTTGTTTCCTGGACTACTTTATAAAACTATAATTTAGAATAACAAAAGGGGCTGTTAGTAAAAGTGGTTTTGCAGGCCCCCCCTGCGGCGGACTGCTTCTGAACACCGCTTCCGGTCCGTCGTTCCTGCCGCTCCCCGCTCAAATTCTCGAGCAGGTCGCGGCCGGAAACTCGGAGCCCGGCTACACGGTCCTCCGCTTGCCGGCGCCGCAGTCCCTGCTGAAAAAATCCAAGTTCCCGATGATCCGGGTGGCCGAGGTCGACGTGGACGTGTGCTTCGCGTGCAAGAGGTGCCAACGCGCTTTCGACAGCGCTTCGGCGCTGCTGACGCACCAGAGCGTCTGCTTCGGGGCCGATCAGAGGTCGAGGGGGGCGTTCAGGTTGGTGCGGCGCGGGTTCGAGTGCGAGGCGTGCGGGTTCAGGAGCTCGGCGAGGTTCGAGAAGCACTGCGGTCTTATTGACCGAAAAGTAAGTGAAAATTTCCGGAGGTGCGTTTTTTAAGGATAGAAAATAGAATGGTTTTAAAAAAACATTTAATTCGTTTTTTCATTCACTTGTACTAAAGCACTTCAACAAAAATTTTAGAAGCGAATTTGCTTACGGCACGCGCCTAAAGAGCGGCATGCTTTGAGCGCGCCACGCCTTTGTCTTTTGTCGGGTTTACACCGCGTTATTACAAATAAGCCGCATTATTATAAAATAAAAAAAACAGTAGAATATTCGCTACTCTACCGTACTTATAAATTATGAGTGATTAAAGTGCGGTAACGTTACCGCGGTAACGGTAATTTTGGTAATTTAACCCGGCAAATTTCTTTACCGGTAATTTTCAAAAATTATTTCGCCATCTAGCCCTGAATCTATAACGATCTTGGATTTATTCATTTTCTTTACCTAGTTGCATTGTTTTCTGGCAGATGGCAGTGATAGTGGGATTAGTAGGAGTAGATAACTTCCCGATTGCGATTTAGACATGTTTGGCCAATCAAGGAAAGTACCAAGTTATAAAAATATAGATTCTGAGGAGGAAGAATATATTTCAGGTATTTACTTTATTGCTTAGTAAACCAGAACGATATTTTTTTTTATTTTTGAATAAATATTATTTGTTTCCTTTTTTAACAAACAATAATATAATAAATGGTTTATAAGTATGTAAAAAATACTAAAAATATATAATCCCAAAACGTATACATTAGGGTGTTTCAAAAAAATCGACTTTTTCTTTTTCTTCAAATGGTCGGCAAATTCTTTCAGAGGATGTCAACACAAAGACCTCGTCAAAATTTGAGCTTTTAATTTCAATCAAGATTTAGAGGTCGCGGATCGCAATTTTCTATTTCCCATTTAAATAACATAGGAAATATTTTTTTTTAACTTTGAAATTTTATACGTCTGAATCGAATCAACTTATGTTAAGGATCATCTTAGATTTTCACAGTAAATTTAACGCTCTACAAAAAAGGTCTCCTATCATTTTTCTATAAATTGATTCCTTCCAGAGTTATTCGAGGCCAAAGTTTCATTTCCATCGAATTTTCGCGTTTTTTAACATATATGGTACAATTATCATTATACGGGTGTCCCGAAATTAGGGGGCCAAACTTAAACAGTGCATTATTCGTATAAAAATAACACTTTTTTTGTTTAATAAACATGTATCAAAAAAAGCTCCCTAAAGGAGCTACGGCCCCCTGAATAGGAGCCTAAGAGGATACTTTTTTTTAAACTATTCCTAGAGGGTTGAACATGAACAAATGAATTTTCGGTACTTTGGTAATTTTGACATGCTGAATCTAGATCTACGATCAAAACTGTTAAAATTTAATCATAGGCGTAACATTTGGAGGGGGCAAAGTTACAAAAATAGCCCCAACTTTTTTCTGGGTTAATAATTTAATTTTTTTTATGAAATTATGATAATTTATAGTTTTTTACGAAAAATAGGTACTCTTGATTTGAATTGCTCAGATGCACCATTTTCGAGAAAAATGCATTTATATATAAATTACTCTGCATATTATACACATCTCATATTTTCATTAAAACTTTGTAGTAGGGTTTGGAAAAAAGTGACGTTTTTTTGTTTTTTTGTTTTTTTACCACTTCCTATGTTTCAGATATAAATATGTGATTTTTTTACTACATGATGCTAAAAGTTGAAAAAACGAGAAAATTCGATGGAAATCAAACTTTGGCCTCGAATAACTCTGGAAGAAATCAATTTATAGAAAAATTATAAGAGACATTTCTTATAGAGCGTTAAATTTACTATAAAAATCTAAGATGGTCCTTGCCATAAGTTGATTCGATATAGACGTATAAAATTCCAAAGTAAAAAAAAAAATTTCCTATGTTATTTAAATGGGAAATAGAAAATTGCGATCCGCGACCTCTAAATCTTCAAATTAGAAGCTCAAATTTTAACGAGGTCTTTGTTTTGACATCCTCTAAAAGAATTTGCTGACCATTTGAAGAAAAAGAAAAAGTCGATTTTTTTGAAACACCCTAGTATACATTATATAATGTCCATCCATAGGTATAATTATTTGTTTTCTGAAATATTTCCAAAATTACCGGTAAATTACCACTAAGAAAAATCAAATAAAAATTACCAGTAAATTTCAATCACTACTCATAATTGTTTATTTGATTTATTTTTGGTAGAAATAAACCATATGGTAACAATTTTTAATTTTTAAGTAATTTTGCGCTAGAATATCGTTTATTTCACGAAAATGTACATTTTTCAATAAACGCGACTTAACCCTTTCAATACGACTTTTCAGAAATTAATTTAAAACTTTTTTATTAGTGTTAAAACTATATTTAGGTTAAAAATAGTTAATTGACTGAATAACAGATTTTTAACTTTGGTGGTATTTGAAAAAAAGGCCTGGGACAGATTTATCCCTGCAGTAATATGCCCTGGGATATATTTATCCCCACACTAAAGAAATTCTACTATTTTTGAAAATGTTTATTATCAAAAAACACTGATGGGATAAAACTATCCCCTGTCATATTACTGCAGGGATATTTTTGTCCCAACGTATACGTATATATATATTTTGAGGAATGAGTTGTGACGTACAATGCACATAAAGTATCACAAAAATTCAAGCAAAATTTACACAAAAACTGCACAAAATAGGTTATGTGACTGGTCATTTTCTTTGGGACGTATATATCCCCGCAGTATTGAAAGGGTTAAAAATAACACGTTTGTTGTGTAATTGGGCCTGGTGCCTGTTGAAAGCACATTAAAAATAATATAACAATAATAATAAAAATAATAATAATAATTATAAAAAATCGTATCTCGCTACCCAATTACTTTAGACATGTGCGGTTTTAACGGTTTAATTTTTAATAAAATTTGCAATTTTTTGTGTAAATGTTTAAAACCAAACGGCAGCAAGTTTTTTCTCTCTCGTGTAACGAAATCTCGGAACGTTACATTTTTTCCAATTCACTCTCCATTCTCCTCAAATATCAGAACGCCACCAAAGAAGTTTCACTTCAAAAATTTTAGTTCGTTTTTTCATTCAATTACAACAAGTACACATCAACAAAAATAAATCATCGTATTTTCGCCAAAAAATAGAAAAAAAGGATGAAGTTTCTTTCAAATTAAATTTTTGTATAAAAATAAGGATTGATATTTGTATTAAAAAAAAAGGTTGAGGTTTTTTATACGAATCTTTTTTGCAAAAAAAAAATTAAAATTCTTTTTTTTCAGTTGTACCTATGAAAAAATACATGAAACCATAATTCAAATTTATATCCTTTTTTTCTAAATCCGGTAAAATTTAAAGATTTTGGAAAAAAAAAATTAAAACAAATATTTTTTTTAAAAGGATGAGGATGATTTTTCAAAAAAGGCCTGTTTTAAAAAAATGAAATTTTTTTTTATTATTTTTAGCTAGCTTTGTTAAATGTTTCATTATTTTCTGTTTTATTAAACACTAGGTAGGTACGTTATCTAAATGTCATTTTGCTTACTCCTCCAATAGGCCCCTTAAATTTGAAAAAACTCGTCGACACATTTTAAATTAAACTTTTTAATAGTCTCATCTAATTAAAACAATTATATTTTTTTGTACCCTCTTTTTTTTGGAGATTTGAATAGATTTTGAAATGATAGTTTTGGTATGATGGTTTTGGGTATTATTAAATTTAAAAGTTCGTGATTTAAAAAATTTTATTTACAAAAAAATATTTTTTATCTTCATGAAAATTATTTTGAAAATGCTTTTAATTTATACATTAACCACTTGAACGTTCGAATTGCTTTTGGATAACTTCCGCACTAATAAGGCGACATTCTTCACGAATTTGATTTTTCAAGTCTTCTAAATTTTGTGATCTGTTAATGTAGACAAAGGCCTAAATCAAAGGATTTAATAAATTTATCATAGTTTCACTTGTTTTAAATTATATTCTAACAAAGAAAAAACTTCCAAATATCGAAACTTGCTCTTTGTAGAATAACACTTTTCATTTTGGTACCTTAGAATTAAAAGTTTTTAAGTGCCGTTGCCACGTTAAGAGAAAATGCCCAATCTGCAATATTTAATATTGTAGATAAGTCATTTTCGTTTAACAATGCAGCTGCACTTAAAACCTTGTCATTTCAAGGTACCGATTTGCTAAATTCCGTTTTAGACTGAACCGGCAGACATGGAAAATTATGTGAAATCAATTATCAGAAAAAATAGCAAAAACTTATCATCAGATAAGAAAGGTAAGCTTTTTAAGGTACTAAATTTATTTATGTAAATTAGACTGGGCCAAAAAAATCAACTATTTTTTTTTTAAAACCATATCAAAAATATGGTTTGGGGAGACAAAAAAAAATTATTGTGAAAGTTTGAGTCCATAATATTAATATTAAGAGGTCTATCATTGCAATTTTATTTTTTTTTCCCTTATCAAGTTTTTGTCTCAGAACTCCCAAACCATTGAGTTTAACAAAATTTACTTGAAAATAATTTTTTAAGAAAATTAAATGCTCTACAAAAAAAGTTAAATAAAATTTTTCGTCAGATGAACCGTTTCCTTAAAATCATGCCCTAAACATTGGTATAGTTTTACATTTTGATCTTTTAACTTTGGAATTTTAAAATTTATGTAAAAATCACCCATAAAAAACCGATAAATATTCTTATGTGAAATCAGTTGATTTTTTTGGCCCAGTCTAATGTAAATGTAAATGTTTTACTTGATTTTTAGATTCAAAATCAGAAATAATACCTAGCGCTCCAGAGCTGATACTTATCAAAGAAGAAAATCAGGGGTTATGGTTTAAGGAGGAATCTGAAGGACAAATTCACATTAAACAAGAACCAGAAGAGCCAATTTGTACTAAAGAAGAACCACTGATGTTTAGTGAAGAATCAGAAGAACAAATTCATATTAAAAAAGAACCAGAAGAGATTTATTTTAAAGAAGAGCCTTTGATTTAAAAGAAGAAGCAGGAAACATTTAAGAAAAAAGTGTATATTTTAACCATTTAGTTAGGTTTTGATGTATTGATTATACAATAATGTATAACAATGAATAAAATACATCTATCTACTATTGCATACTTTTGTTTTTTTTTTTCGTGAATATTGTTTAACATTATGAATTTTCTGCCTAACAACGTGAATAATAAACTCAATATTCACGTTGTTAGTCATCAGTGTTTGGCTGATTTCAGTATTCACTGTGATTTGAACCAATCGTGTTTTAAATTGGAAGAAGGCGACTATAATAACATTTAAAATTGGTAAAAATTAAGGTTAACCATTTGACAGATGTCAGATTTTATTTATTAATTTTGAATATCATTTAATTATCTACTTATTGGAGTAGATAAAGTCACATATCAGAGTGCGTATTATGCGCATTATCTCTCGTATAATAATATGCTGGTTTACAATTGCCTTCTTTTTATTATTCCACTAGTGAAACAATATTGCAATTATTCAAGTAGTGTAAATATTGTTAAAGACTATACTTCACCCTTTGGCCAAACTGAGTAATTTAATACAGCAAATTTCAAGGTAACCCATTCTACATAATTTTAATAATATAAATACATGCAGTTGATTAAACTATAGTCGTTTTTTCGCGTAAATACCATGAAATACTATGGTTATTAAACTTAACCTTGGTTAATAGTTAAGGCATTTTTGCGTTTAGAGTGCGTTCAAAAATCCTAACTATGACGTCACAAATACCAAACCATAAAACTATATCGCTGAGCTAGTTATTCAACGTGGTTAATAGTCTTTCTCTTTTTAACAGGGGGGTATAAGGGGAATTTGACAATAGGCAACAGTAAAATAAATCAAGCAGGCTTGGAAAACCGAGGTGAATGTAAATCATTGGTGGGATTAACTACATGTTATGTGGCACATGATTTCCTTTGTTGTGATTGGTTGTTCACCAACCTGTCCGTTCTCTGTGGTAAATTGCAAATGGCTGAAAGTGTTGTGTTAAATATTTTAACCAAGATTTTCTTTGTTTTAGGTAAGTAAAATTGTTAATTCCTGCTTTAACATTATATTAGGTGGATATAGGCATGTTTAAGTTAAATGTAGCATCACTACCGCGTTTTTATTAAAAAATACGTAGAATTAACCGTTTCGGTTTTTTTCTCCATGTTTTCCTTAAACAAATGTTATGAAAGTTGTAATAAAACAAATAGAATATTATTTTTCTATAATAAAACTTATAAAGTGTTTAATTAAACCAAGTTTTCATGGAATTGGAATGGTTTTAACGTTTTTTGAATAAAAATAACAACGTAAATAAACCTTAATACATGTAAGTTTTTAACGATGTTTTCTCGAAATTTTCAATGCTCAATCAATTTAAGTAGTACATTTTATTTAAAAATTAACACTATATAGGTACCTAGTTGCTTTTATAATATTCTTATTATTACAAAAGGTATACCTATCTTTGTTTTGGTAAATTTGTAGGTTATCTACTTATAATATTTTGTAAATCATTTTAATTATCAAATTTTTATTTTCCAATTTTGATTACAATACCTACCTACTAATTTTTAAATGCTATTTTAATAGACTTGTATTAACGCAACTTTTGTCTGATTTAAACCGACGTTGTAGCTCTTCAAATAAAAAAAATACCCATGCATAGAAGAATACTTGGTACCTTGCATATACAGCTAAGCGAAAACTGGACCTGGGTCCAGCCCCCTCATCCGTGGATCGGAAGTAAAGGGCCCAACAATTTGGCACTTCATCTATGGTCAACACATTCAACCGCTCTCTCAATGTGCGACTTCTTTCTCTGGGGCTTTATAAAAGATAAAGTTTATGAGCCCCAAGATTTGTGAAAACAAAAGACACGAATTGGAACTGCCATTGATGAAATTACCACTCAGACCCTTCGGTTGGGATAGAAAACGTTCAAGTATTTACTAGATGTTTGCAGCTGGAGGAGGTCATATAAAACACTTGTAAGCATACAGTTCAAAACTTGATTATATTACAAATGTTTTGTGCTTTCCATGTTTTTTTTTACATAAACATAGCATTTTGAATTTTTGATCTACATTGTGATAATCTTTTACAGTATGTTCATAATTATTTAAATAAATTTATTTGTTCTATCTGAAAGTCTGACATTTTTAATGTACATAAATAACTAGACAATTCATAAGCAAACCTTTTAAAGAAATATTTTTAAAGTTTTAAATTCAATTATTTTTTGTTACAATATAATTGATTTTAATTTAATTTATTAATTTTAGGTTTTGCCATAATGGAACAATTAGAGAAGATTTATCCTGCATGAAGAAAAATAATGAAAGACAGCTTTACTCGTCAATCCCAAGCAGAAATATTTGACTTCCAAAATTTTTTAATAATAGGTACCTAGATATTTTTTTCATTTAGAATACATTTTTAGTTACAATTAGGGGTGTGTGAATATTTTTACCAAATTTAATTAACTAGTAATATTTAATTCAAACTTAAAATTAAATATTCAAACTACATGAATAGTTTGAATTATTTGAATAGTTAAATAATTACAATCATAATCTATTCAAATAAGATAATTAAGGGTTAATGACAAGTAAATAACATTCAAACTTTTTATTTAAAAATAAATTTTAAATTACAATTCCATGTTCCATTTCTTCAATTACTATTGGAAAATTTTAATTTTCTTATTAAACCATTTAAAAATTTGAAACATTCAAACTATTCAAATAATTCTTGAATTCAATATTCACACATCCATAGTTACAATACAAATATAAAAAAAGTAAAAGCCTTGTCCATTAAAGAAAGTACACTTTTATTTTTTACTCCAAATATAATTAAATTGTTTATTGTTAAAAACAAGCAATCTTACATTTTTATATTACATACACTTCTGCTTTAGATTATTATTTAGCAAGATATTAAAAAAGAATATTTTCATGTTAAAACAGCACAAGGTCACCATTATTAGTTTTTATAAGATTTTTAAATTAAAAAATAAACATAATCATATTTAGTTAGTCACTTCCCTTGTTTTTACAATAAACCATTCAATTATTTGCTTCAGCAGAAATATTGCTAAATTATTTTTATTTAATTTTAAAAATTATTAGGTAATATCAATCTTTTTACAATTTAAATTGATTTTAAAATTGATATTGATTTCAGGTTTGGGTTTGTGTTAATGGAAGAAGTAGACAGGACTTGAATTTATCAAACTTCTTTGCAAAAGTACATAGAAAATATTAATTGCAGTTGAATATTCTTCATTGAATCAAGAAAAAGACGCTGGTTCAATCCATGAATCATAAACAAGAAAGAAGACAATCAATTAATACTGTCTGTCCACTCTAAGTTGGCTGAACTAAGGAACTTTGTTGTTTAGATATTAAAGAATTGTTGTACTGTGTGCTTTTAAAACAGATTTTATATTATAAATAATACTAGTATATAATATGTACTAGTATTATTTATAATATAAAATCTGTTTTAAAAGCACACAGTACGACAATTCTTTAATATCTAAACTACAAAATTCCTTAGTTCCGCCAACTTAGAGTGGACAGACAGTACTTAATATTGACCAGACAGTTATATCATACAAAGTATTTTATATACAAGATAGGTACATACAGATTTTAATTTTGCCAAATACATAATTACAATATTTTTAACATTTAGATTGAAGTGGTTCTATTGATTATTAATTTAAATTAAACCAATTTTACTAAAAATTAAATATTGCAAAGAATGTAATTTAATTTTTGTTTAAGTGGGAATTCCTTTTTGCCAAAAATTCTATATTTTACAAAACTATAGTATTGTGCTTCTTATTTAAAACACAAATTATAATCATACTTTTGCTAACAATTCCTAAAAATTATAAGAGTACACACAAAAAGCGTAGTGTTATTTTAAATATACCGTTAGTGCCTATATGCGCGATTAAATTAATTGTTTGTAATAAATATTTCGTATATTCCACATTCAAAAGAATGATCGTCTTAAAACGAGACTGAAATATTTGAAAGCAAGTAAAGCTAGTTATTTTGTTGAAGAATTTCATATATTTGATGTTATCTATTTAAAATAAATGTTTTCATATGTTTAACATAATTATTGGCAATAGTCTTAGCAAAAGTATAATAGCTTTAAGATACACTTGTAAAGTAAAATATAAAATCTTTTAAATTAGTCAAAGATTCAGTTAAAATAAATTACTAAATTAATATCAATAGTTTTTCAAAAAGTATTGAACTATTGTTTATCAAGAATTTATCACATTTTGATTGTAGGTAATAGGTTAGAGTTAATTTGTTTAATAAATCTTTGAATTTTTATTAAGAAATCTTAAAATACCTATAAAGATTGTTATTATGTGGCACAAAATTAAAATTTTTGAAAATGATCAATTAAATGTTATACTTTTTGATAAATTATACCTAAATAATTATAAATTATTATACATGTTTGATAAACCTTTTTTTAAATTTCACTAAAAGTTATAGAATAATTAACTTTGAATTTCTCTTCATTTAAATATTATTTGTTGGTTATAATTTAATTTAAAATTGAATTAAGTGTATATTTTGTTTAATATATTTATAAAAAAAAACAAAAATGTGTGTTTTTCCACTTAATTAGTGGAAAATAACCGAAAATTGTTGAAATTTTATATTTTTTGATTTTTAAAGAACAATATTAACTATATGGTTCTTTAAAAACCCAAAAAAATATAAAATTTTAACAATTTTCGGTTATAATTCCATATTTTAAATAAAAATTCAAAATTCGCGCCGCAGAAATCGTGTGGATATTTCCACCAATGGCTTACTGGCACCTCGGATTTCCAAGCCTGCTAGATTTCAAAATCAAACAATGCCTGTTGCCACTTTTCACTACAGCGCTTTTAATTCTCTTATGTTCTGTGCTTTTTAATATATATTTTTCTCTGTTTCGATCTGTCAAAAAGTTGTTTACATTTGAAATTTAAAATATTTTAAGTAGGTAAACCGAATTTAAACTTTGTATTAAAATGGAAAACGGGGTGTTGTCAGTAAAAATAAATGATAGGGTGCTCCATATTGTGGAATATCCACAAGTGGAGGAATTATATGCAGGTTTCTTTTATATTCTTCCTTATTTTGTATTAAACATGTAGGAGAATTGGATAACGTGTATTGAAAAAACTAGTACCTATAGAAAAAGAATATACTAGGTATAAGAAGAGGCAAAGAAATTTATTTACACCGGTAAAAGCATAGAAATTAAATATAAATAGGTAAAAACACATTTAAAAAATTATAGGTTATGAACAAGTAAACAAATGTCAAATGTTAGAAACCTAACCATGGTTATATGAATTAACTGTGACGTCATGACTTATTTAACCGTAGTATTACATATAGTAAATTTAAAAGTAAACTACGTACACGTCATCAATAAAACAAAAATTTTACGCATTGGTACCAACACTAAATGACTAAATCGAAGTCTGTAATTGAATATTTGAATGCATTTTAACCAAATTAGGTTGGCAACAATTGTGATGTTGTCATGTTTACATTCAAATTTTTCATATTTAAATGACACATAAAAAAGAATTTGACGTTTTAGAATTTCGAAGCTGTCAGTTGTGTTTTTGAATATTTCGTTTAATTCGTGTATTTTGTTTGTTGTTTGTGTTATTTTATATCGTTTAAGTTTTCATTGCCGTTTTTGTGTTTGTTATATATGGTTTTTTTGTGTTTCCTATATTTAAAATGCCGAAGCATTTAAATAGTCGGAGTCAAGAGTTGGTGTCATCCTTAATACGCTATTTTGAGGCAGAACGGGATAATAATGGATCTTTGTTACCTTTAACAGCTGTTAGAGAGGTAAATAGGATTATTATTAATTATATATTAGAATATTTAACAAAATATATGTTGGATACATGAAATAATAATATATATACCAGAGACTGACTTTGGATGGCAAAATTTTTGGGTTTTATATCAGAAAATGTCTTTAAAAATGGCTAAAAACATACTTTTGGCGGTGCATCATATAGGTTATAAGAACTCAGACTTTTGACATTTTGTTTTTATTCATGTAAACGCCATCTATCGCCCTGTAGTTGTACTACCACTTTCCCATGATGCAAGGATTTTAGCATCACATTGACAACCGTGCCCGATCAGCTGATTGATGACGTGTACGTAGTTTACTTTTAAATTTACTATAGTATTTACGCGAAAAAAACGACTTATTTAACGCTTAAAAATTAGAAACTAAATGGTGCTAAACAAAATGAAGTGGCAACACTCAGAATCAGTGTTGCCAACTGGTGGTAATTTAATGAATCTTTGTATTACCAACTTGGTAACACTGTATTCCTGTTAGACTGTCAATCCTTTTTTTATGCTGTCAATCATAGATAACAATATGTCAATAATGGCGTTTTTGTGATTATTCAGTAGTAACAAATTCGCTTCTTTAAGTGAAAATTTGCATAAAACCGTAGTCACAGTTTATAAAAGAACGTAGTGTCCTAGACTTAACTTTTCTAGGGGTTAGGTTAATATTTACGTTTTGTAATCATGCCTGTGGTAATATTAACTTTTTGTCGAGCGGTTTATAGTGCGCCGAGTGTATTCGCGATTGTTGATAATTAATTATAAAAGTTCCTCCTCCTGGTGGTAGTAGCAATCAATACAAACTTTTTATCAAAAAGTCCTGCTATTGTGCCAATGAGCCTTGGGCTTTGAATGTAAACTTTGACTTTGAGTAAAAGTGAGTATTTATCCACAGCAGAACAACTTCACTGATTTGGCCTCAGAATGAGTTCTGACGAAGCTGAAGAGAGTCTGACCACAACAACAAATCTACCATCAGCATCGAAAAAGAAATATGAATCAGTGTACAAGGCTTTTTTGGATTGGCATAGCCTCAACAACATGTCATTATTCACGGAAAACGTTCTTCTTTGCTACTTTAGCGAACTGGCGGAAAAATACAAATCGACAACCCTCTGGGTCCACTATTCCATGTTAAGGAGTACTCTCCTGATCAATAAAAGCATAAATATTGAGAAATTCACGAAGCTGCGCTCGTTTTTAAAGCGAAAAAGTCAGGGATATCGGCCAAAAAAGTCGAAGGCTTTCAGCAATGAAGAAATTCAGAAATTCATGACTGAAGCTCCAGAGATTAAATATCTTGCTACAAAGGTAGGCAAGTTTTTTTCCAATTTTTTTTAAATTTTATTTTAATATTTTTTGACTTGATTGATAATTATAGTAAATTCTTTATAAAAATCTCAAAAAACAATTTTTTAGCACTTTAAAATTGAGGGGTATAAAATCAAAGGCGGCAATCTCCCAATTCCATAGTTTTGAGAAAACTGCGAAAAACTATAAAAACTAATAAGTTGCAATATTAACACTAAAATTGATAGCGAATCATGAAAATGTGGCTTAGTATCTGGCGTATGACAAAAATTTGCTTAAGAAATCAATATAAATTCCTTTTTGAATAATATTAGTTTGGAGATTGCCACTTTTGTTTCTAGTGTTTGGAGATTGCCGATTTTGAAAATGATCTATGGGGATATTGCCAGTTTTGAAACTCACGACAGGGTTAGAGGTTGAATAAACTATTCTGTCACTATTTAGTATATATTTATCAGGTGACAATCACGTGTGGGCGGCGCGTGGATCTCATTGGCCTGAGCGGAGATTGCCGTTTTTGATATGCACTAAGCGATGGAGATTGCCACTTTTGATCCCAACTCTAATTTTTGAATGCGAATTAAACAGGAATATTGTCACTTTTGCTTGTTACTTTTAGTTTTATTCGAAAACAGGATTCAAATGTTGAAGTCATTATTATAACAATTATAATTTTGTCAATATACAGGGTGTATGTAATTATTGTAATATATTAAAATACTTAATACCTTACATAAGGTGTAACACAAAAATATTTAAAAAAATATTTTCCTAAAGATGAAGAAAGTTTTTAATTTTTTTGTGATATGCCACTGGTTACTAATTTGTGTTCTGTGAGTACAAAGATACAAACCAACAAAGTAGCTGCGCGTTGCCAGTTGTAAAAAATTGTTACTAAAAATGTTTCTTGCAAAAAATAAATAAAAACTCAATAAATACAAAAGTTTTATGCCCTTAAAGCTCTAATACCCTTCTGTATTTATTTACTCATCCAGCTATTAGCTTAAGCAATGACCTCAAAATTCATTTTTTCATCGGTTTTTTTCTTTTTGTTTACTCAGATGAAATTAGGACAAGTTCACAAGTTAAACTTTAAACATTCAATTTGTGTAAATAAATCCAAAAGCACTTCCCTTAGTTAAGATATTTACAATTTTAGCACATAACCTAAAATTTGAAAGAAATGCCCTAGATTCTGTCATAAAAGTTGTCAGATTTTGTTTGAATTTACCTTCATTACAAAAATGACATAATCAGCCAAATTAACATTTTGCATTGTTGATTTTGTCATTCTTGTGATTAAGCTAAATTTAAACAAAATCTGGCAACTTTTTTGACAGCATCTGGAACGCTGCTTGTTACCAACCATAACATAATAAATTAAATTAGGCAACCAGATTAGCGTAGAGTTCCTAGTCGATCAGTGGCGTACTTTTTGGTAGGATAAAGATTATTATAAATTATTTTTAGAATTTAGAAAAAAAGTTTCAAGTGCTTCTTTATGGACCTTAAGGAACTACCCGTTTTAATATATTGCATTAATTACATAAAATTTATTTTTATAGAGTGTGATACAAATTTAAAGTTCCTTTGTAATTTGTAAACTATTTTAAGGTTGCACTTGTGATGGGTAGTATGGGAGCGTGTCGGATGAAAGAAATGAGGGAGATGAGTGTAAAGGATTTCGAGGATATCGGAACGGCAGTTATAGTAACAGTGCCAGATACAAAAACCAACATGTCCGTACGAAAATTTACGATAACGGACATTTATTACGAGATTTGGAAAAGATATTACAATTTACGTCCTCCCAATACAAACCACGATGCATTTTTTCTTAAATATCATCGGGGAAGATATACCACCCAGCGCATTGGGAAAAACAAATTCTGCGAAATGGGAAAGGAAATCGCAATGTTTTTAAATCTGCCCAATCCGCAATCATATACGGGCCTGTGCTTTCGTAGATCTTCGGAAATATCGGCTCCAAAAAATCACCATTTGAAACAATCAAATTTGCTAATTGCCAATTCTGTAATAATAATAAATAATATAACTATGACGTCGCCTGATTCCAATTTCTACTCGACCAATGGAAATCCAACTATTAATAGTGGGTCCCAGATTATAGGTAAAATACCATCTGTTGATTTTTTAATTTAAGTTTTAAGCAAATGCTTATAATGTTATAAATGTCAAAAATAAGTGAGATATATAATTTTAACTTTTAGATGTACCAGAACTGGTACTTATTAAGGGAGAACCAACACAAGAACCGTTTCATATTAAAGATGAACCAGTTCAAGAAGAATCAGAAGAACACATCTACATTAAAGAAGAACCAGAAGAGGCAATTTACTTTAAAGAAGAACCAGATGAACAAATTAATATTAAACAAGAAGAGCCAATTCATTTTAAAGAAGAGCCTCTAATATAAAAGAAGAATTGGTAACCGCTCAAAGCTTTAAATATATACAGTGTCCTGTATTAAGAAACTAAACAAAAAAATACGTATTGTATCATTTTCAGAAAATTTGCATCAAACCTTATATTATTTAAATGTCAAAATGGGATTTTTTGGTGTATTAATAAAGTTTTATAATATAAAAATTATTTACAAATAAACTGGGTTTTATTAAAGATGTATCAAAAATGATTAAAAAAGTGATTTTTTAAAAAATTATATTTGGGTAATTTAACCAAAAAATAGTATTTTATAGAGATAATGCGCATAATCTCGAGTGATACTATACTTAATCTACTACAATGAGTAGGTATATAATTAAATAATCTGTCAAATGGTTAACCACACTTCACCAATTTTAAATATAGGTAGTCGCCTTCTCCCAATTAAAAACCTGATTGCTTCAAGTCACAGTGAATATTGAAATCAGCCAATCACTGATGCCTAACAACGTGAATAATCAGTTTATTATTCCTGTTTTTAGGCAGGGAATTTATAATGTTTATCATTATTCACAAAAAAAGCCAATATTATGCAATAGGAGTAAGTAGATACAATTTATTTTTGGGTTGTGACCTCTGTGGAGTTAGTTATTCTTTTCATCAAATAATGATTTGAGCTCTTAATATTAAGTACTTTCGTAGTAATGATTTTTCGAATTTTAACAAAATTTTCTTTTTAAACTTGCTGAATTTTTTTTACGCAAAATGTGTAATTTTCACAATGGGGTTATTTGATGTTAAAATACAATTAATTGAGGTTATGCATCTATCAATTTAGTCTTATTTTCTAAAAATGACATAATATACGGATTTTTATAAATAAATTATATATATTTATACGATAGTATTTATACTTTGATTTATATTTAAACATAATAAAATTTGGGTACCTATAAGAAAATAAATTTTGTAAAAATTTCGTTTGAATTTTTTTCATTCGCCCCCACTAAAAAAAGCTGTTTAAACACTTTAAATCTGATATGTTTTTATTTCCAAGGTAAGAAAATATAAATGAAATTAATGAAACTTTTATTTAAAAAAAACAAAAAATTAAATTTTCCACTTGGTTATAGAATTTAAATATAATGTAAATTTGGTTTTAGAAAGCTTGACAACGCTGTAGACAATTTTGAGCGTCGTGATTGGTCGATAATTAAAATACGGTTATCTGTAATTTCATACAGGTTGCTGTAACTTATATTTTAGTTTTAGTTACAGGAATCTGCACTTTTGACAGTTAAAGTTTGTTTATAAAATGGCAAAAGTGTTTGCCTAGACCCTGGCCTAGACAAAAACAACTTGTTTTTGTCTAGGAGTGTTTGTCTGTGTTTCCGTGCAAAAGAATAATCAACAATCCAACGCCATAAACATTAGTTTATTATTGGTTTGTGATATTGTGATGAATTATTGAAATTTTAATTTGTTTTACAAAATAAAAAAATAAAAATGTCTTCTACAGACACAGCTGATGAATGTGAGGATCTAGTAAGCTTGACAAAAGACTTAACAAGAAGAGACCTTAAAAAGAAACGTAAAAAAAATCACTTTGATATTAATACTAAAACCACCATTTTGAATCTTTACAAACTTGGATTAATACATAATCCTGATTTACTAAAAAAAAAAATTGCAGCTGAAGTTGCCAATAGAGTAGGCGTGTCCACTAGCAGCGTTTACAGGGTGATTAGGGAATACAACACAACTAATTCATTTTCCCCACCACAGACAAATCAAAATCGTAAAAACACTTTTAACTCAATGGACAATGCTACAAAACAGGCTATAAAACTGAAGGTTCAACAGTTTCTCTCCACCAATTCCCAGGTTCACCACACCATAGAGACACTTGTAAGGGAGGTCAACAGAGATCCAAATTTACCAAACTTTAAAAGAACTACTTTTTTAAAGCTGTTGAATCTACTAAAATTTAAATTTACCAAACGTGGGAGAAATAGCGTTTTACTGGATACCTCAACTACTGATTGTGACTCATCAAGCGAAGGTAATAATTAGCTAATTATTATTATTATTATTCTTGATTGATGAACGTACGTCGAAAAACAGGTTTTTACAGGGTACCCACTCACCTGGAAAACAGGGAAAACCTGTAAATGTCAGGGAAATTAAATATTAATAAAAAAGTCAGGGAAAAGTCAGGGAATTTGCTGAATTTTACGAAAAGTCAGGGAATTTAACTAATTTTTCTTGATTTTTGCGAAAATTGTTTCTATTTTTATTACCGGCCGAAGATTATTTTTTACAAATAATATAGCCCGACATTGAAACTAAAATAAATAATTTGCGCAAATACTTATAAAATGTATGACCTTATAAACTATAGTAAATTTAAAAGTAAACTACGTACACGTCATCAATCAGCTGATCGGGCACGGTTGTCAATGTGATGCTAAAATCCTTGCATCAAGGGAAAGTGGTAGTGCAACTACAGGGCGATAGATGGCGTTTACATGAATAATACCGAAATGTCAAAAGTCTGAGTTTTTATAACCTATATGATGCACCGCCAAAAGTATGTTTTTAGCCATTTTTAAAGACATTTTCTGATATAAAACCCAAAAATTTTGCCATCTAAAGTCAGTCTCTGGTATATATATTATTATTTCATGTATCCAACATATATTTTGTTAAATATTCTAATATATAATTAATAATAATCCTATTTACCTCTCTAACAGCTGTTAAAGGTAACAAAGGTCCATTATTATCCCGTTCTGCCTCAAAATAGCGTATTAAGGATGACACCAACTCTTGACTCCGACTATTTAAATGCTTCGGCATTTTAAATATAGGAAACACAAAAAAACGATATATAACAAACACAAAAACGGCAATGAAAACTTAAACGATATAAAATAACACAAACAACAAACAAAATAAACGAAATAATACACGAATTAAACGAAATATTCAAAAACACAACTGACAGCTTCGAAATTCTAAAACGTCAAATTCTTTTTTATGTGTCATTTAAATATGAAAAATTTGAATGTAAACATGACAACATCACAATTGTTGCCAACTTAATTTGGTTAAAATGCATTCAAATATTCAATTACAGACTTCGATTTAGTCATTTAGTGTAGGTACCAATGCGTAAAATTTTTGTTTTATTGATGACGTGTACGTAGTTTACTTTTAAATTTACTATAAGTTTGTTTCCTTTCAAATTTTTTATGAATGTTCTGTTTAATTTTTTTATTATATTTTAAGAAATATTAAAAAAAATTGTAAAAAGAAAAATAAAATATATTTTTACTATAATTATTGCTGGAAATTGATGAAAATTGGTCTGGAAAACCTGGAAAAGTCAGGGAATTTTGTTTCATTTAGTTGGTGGGAACATTTTAAATTGACGACGCAAGGCACAATTAAAGACCTTGGTTGGCCAATCAAATTGCAGACATTTAGGTTGGCAGCATTGAACATTGGAAAAAAGTGAGGTTAAAACTAATTGACAGCTGTTAAATGTCAGATAAAATATCAAATAAAATTGGCTTTAAATTTTTGTGGTTTAATTAAAATTAGTCGCACATAATTTTATGTTTTACTTGATTTTTAGATTTAAAAAAAGAAATAATACCTAGCGTTCCAGAGCTGGTACTTATTAAGGAAGAATCAGGAGAAATTTACATTAAACAAGAACCAGAAGAGCGAATTTATATTAAAGAAGAACCGCTGATGTTTAGTGAACAATTAGAAGAACAAATTAATATTAAACAAGAGCCAATTTATTTTAAGGAATATAATATAAAAGAAGAATCGGAAACCATTTTATGCATTTAAAAATATATTTTTAAATTTATTAACTTATATGTTACTTGTAAATATATACAGTCCCACCTTGATATTTGAATACAAATAACTATTTGTCAGTTTAACGCAAATTTCGTTAACCTGACAGAAATATAACCACTATTATTATAAATATAATAAAAAATATTGTTTGTAATTAAATATCTTAAAACATAAAAAGTACTTTTATTTAGACCAATTAAATTGAGAAGCAAATTTGTGTTTTAAAAATTTACTAAAAAATATAAATAAAAAATCATACAAATGGCAATAACTATCCCACTATGCTAGTTGCCCCTCGTAGGGCAAGATATCCTGCCGTAATGTCCATAGGTAAATCAGTTAGAGTGGCATATTCTTCCTTATTGGCAAATCTCAGTCTGGTTTGAGGATCGGTGTATGGTGCATGTAAACCGGACAAATCCGAAAACTTTTCGGCCGGTTTAAACGATGGAGGTGCATTTATCGAACTGTAATGAATAACATCTTCAGGCCAAGGCAGAGCTCTCTCCGAAGTGATAATTTGTTTCAGAGATTTCCAAGCTCGTTTCTTGTTGGGGTTTTTGTTTTGCTGGAAAGAGGCCACTTTGAAGACCGGTTTCGGTTCTGTTTTCACTTCTTCGGTACTCATTGCAGTTTTAATATTATAAACATATTCATATTACAAACATAACTAAATATTGAAATGTTAGGTTAGGGTTACGTTAAACAGGGATGGCACTAAACAAAGAACACTAAATAAACAGCCGCAGTGTTGCCAGATGTTGAATGTAAAATTATCGTATTTAGCAGGGTGGAACCCTGGTATTTAGCAACGATAAATTAACGTAGCCCTTTTATAATCTGTGGCCAAACAGTGTAGCCATGCTAATAGGAAAAACAGTTAGTTTGGGCTACGGTACGTATTGAAATTTAAAATTAAGGGCTTGAACTAGGGTACCAATTTTAAATATTAAAAATACCCAACATAATCAAATAGTCCATGTGACTCATAAAGGTTGACGTTGTCAAAATCCAAATAAAATGTCGACTTATATTAAATTATCCTAGAATAGATAGTTTTTTTTTCTTAATAAATTATATTTGACTTAAAATCGCACTGTGTAGTTTCCATAAATTTTCAAAGCACGGTCCTGAGTGTTTAACATTGCGCATGTCCAATAAACACACCTGCGCAAACCGGTACATCTCGTGACATGCGCATAGCGATCTAAAAAAAGATGGCTAGGCGTTTGACCGAAAGTTCGTGGATAAATATTGTGCAAAATCGTCGCTAAAAGAGGAAAATAAGTGCTTGAAAAGTGTGCAAAGAATACCCCGTCGTTTACGCAGCCGAAAGTCGTAATTGGTTGTGGAAAAAGTAAGTGGTTTGTTAGTGATAAGTTGTGTATTATGTGTAAAAATCGATGTTAGGCCGCCTAGGTTATTTGGCTACATACGGCCTCTTTTGTTTCGTGCCTGTTTTGTTATTTCGGTATTTCGCGGGATATTCGATTATATCGGCTTTACGGGATTTTTTTTCGTTTTTAAAGAGTTATGTCAACAAATATTACTTCTTTATTTTGGTATCTACCTAGGTATATCAACCCCGGACAATCAGTGAAAAGTGACCGGATTTTTTATTAGGTATTATTTGGTGCGGGTCGGTTTCATTTAATTTTTCGGTCGGACTTTATTACGTTTTTAGTGTTATGCCCTATTTAAATTTGAACAAGATATGTACTTTCTATTTTTAGCATTATGGATGTGTTTTATTTTCAGGTTCTGCTTAAAAAAAAGTTAATGCATGCATGATTGGTGAGTTTGGGGTAATTTATAATAATCTATTTTAAGAATATGTAAGTACTACAGTAATGACTTATTTTATAGGATTTAAAAGTTAAATTATCTTAATTGTCTTGAAATAATTAATAATAACAAGGATATGTTTGTTCAATTTTTTGACAGGAATTGTCAGAAAATAAATCTGTCAACCATGTTAATTTCTATAGCCGCCTTGTATTTTTTTCTTTTGGCTTGGGAAATACACAGCTTGCTGAGAATTTAAACACGTAAATTAATTAAGTCATCAAAACAATATTTTAAACACCTTGAAGTACTAAAACTGATTATTATAAATGTGTGCGTGCGAAAAATAAGTTTTGAATACATGACCCAAAAAAATTATACATTTATTAACCCTGTTGAATGTTCGTATATCGACCGAGTATCCGTTATAAACTACATGGCGAATTATGTCGGTGTTGCCATGTGGTGCGTAACCATGGTACCGGTACCTTATTTCGGGTGTCGTGATTCTAGCACCGCCGTCGCTAGCGAGTTGCGCGTACTGCGGGAACTACTACTAACTACTAGGGAATCCACACACCAACCCTGGATCGGAACTGAACAAAAAAGTTTTTTTCGTGTAAGTATATTTTTTGACTTATTTGGATATCATATGGGACGTATTTTTAAAAGAGGTGAGCACTATGTCCCATCCAAAAGTTCCTTGAAACTCAGTTAGTATGCATTTTACGAAAAAATGTTTAAAATAAAAATGAAATGTTTCGAGGGAAAAATAGGTAGATTTTGTCTAAAACATTTTTTCATATTTGTAATAGATGGCGCTGTAATGAAAAAAAAAACTCAATTTTGTTCGATTTTTCTTCTGTAAACGATTCTCCAATAATTTTTGAATAAAATACTTGGTTTTATTTTTTAAATTATTTATTTTTTAAATTTTAATTAAAGTAGGTGCTCAAAATGGTGGCCTTCGACTTCAATGCATCTATTAATTCGCATTTCGTTTAATTATTCTGCTAACACTGCTCTGGGATATACCCAAATCTCTAGATAATTCTCGTGTGCTTGCATGAGGATTAGCGGCCGTTGCTGCTAATACATTAATTTCATTATTTCCACTTGTGACTGTTGCTCGACGAACTCTTTTTTTCGCTTGAACACTGCCGTTTGTAGTAAACTGCTTGACTGTACGGTGAAATGAAGTACGTGATCGAATTTTATCCGGAAAACGCTGAGCGTAGATATTAACAGCATCATCAAGATTCCTGCCTGCTTCTCCATAAATCAAAACCATTTCTATTTTTTCTTGCACTGTTAAAAAATTCATTATAAATAACTGCTTAACGAAACGAGGTCTTTTTGTTTGCAAATTAATCTTCGAACTAAATTGATTAAATAATGCTAAACTATAAATAATTTTTTTATAACTCAATAATAATTATTATTTATAACTAAATACCATTTTTTATACCTCAATTAGGATTAAATTAATTAATTGACAAAATTATGTTTTTTACCTTAAATGAGGTATTTTTATTGAAAATAGTACAATAATCCTTTAAATTAAAGGATTTTAAATCCGGGCTCCCACACCTCCTAAAACTCATAAAATTCCTAAAATTTTGCTTAAATCTTGAAAACTCCTAAAACTCTCCTAAAATTGCATTCAATCTCCTAAAACTCCTAAAATCCTAAAAATTAAATTTAAATAGGCAACCTGACTGCGTTTAATTAAGGTAGTGCTAAAAAATTATTTTTTAAAAAGTATTTAAAAATATATATTTTTAGGTTCCATTTTATTAAATTTTTTTTAAAATGATATAATATCACAACCAAAATTTTTCTTAAAAAACAACAAAAAAACTTCTACAAAATTGTCATTTTTAGCGATATTTCGTTTTTTTAGTCAAAAATATAAAATGATTTTTAATTTTCTTTTAAATCTCTACTTTTATAAAATATTTCTTGCGATTTTTTTTATTTAATGTCTATAGGTACAATAATAGAAGAATATATTTGACAATTTTGATGCAAAAATAATTTATAATAAATTACCTACAATTTTTTTTATAAAAACAGTTTTGTGATTTGTCCCGTCCATCCGCTTGAAATGGCCGATAATTAATTAAAAAAACGGTATAATAGATTAAGATTCACGATTTACCTTGCACTAAAGGTACGTATGGCTGAGCGCTCCACACTCTGCGCCCTCTATCTCAAAAACGATTAGACGTATAAAATTTGTAGAGAATTTTATTCTCTACAACTTTTATAATAAATGCAAATATGATAGGACGCAGAGAAAACGAGATATTATCAAAAAACTGATGTTTGTGACCTTTGACCTTGAATATCTAAGGCCGCTCACACCTTGGCATATGTGACTTTTGAGACAACATTTGTAATGCTAAAATAAAGGTTTTCACAAAAATTTAGCTTATTCCGTTAGATTCCGAGGTTTATCCCTTTTTTTGACTAAGATGACTGTACTAAAATTCCTAAATAAAATTTGTAATTTAGCTGTGGGAGCCCTGGATTTAATGCTGGCAGGTAAAAAGTGACCATGGTGCACATTGATAATTATCACCGAATGAAATAATGTAACCAAAGGAAACTTAAATATTAAAATCGTGGGTACTTAAAAAAAAATCAGATTTAATTTAATAAGATAATTATTACCAAAAAAAGTGATATTTTTATAGAAAAAATATTGCAGAATCGTATACAGAAGAAAAATCGAACAAAATTGATTTTTTCATTACATCGCCATCTATTACAAATATGAAAAAATGTTTTAGACAAAATCTACCTATTTTTAGTCGAATGATCCGAATCTGCAATAAAAAATAAAGTGTTTCATTGGAAATTTATAGTTACCCCCCTGTTCCCCCTATAAGGAGGAGAGTATGTAGACCAATTTTAGTACTGATTGATTTCCCCCCTCGAATCATTTAATTTCTATTTTAAACATTTTTTGGTAAAATGCATTTTAACTGAGATATTTCAGATTCAAGTTAAATGACTCACCCTGTATATCTGTCAATTTTACGCTGAACTGACAGATAGATAACCTCAATTATTTGTATACAAATGTCAAGGTGGGACTTTCGGGTGTGTTTTGGTAGTAAGTACCTGGATGAGAATAGAGATTTTCAGAGCTAGCAAAATAATATAATTGATTTAGGTACTTGGTACTTTTTTTTTAAAAGCGTCTCATAAGCCCTAATTAGGCTGAATAGGCATGTATTCTCATCCGCCAGGTTTGATACGGTAAACAAAAAGTTTAGGGTTTAATATAATATCCTCAATTATACTCATTAAAAAAACATCAAAAAACATTTTGAATTTCCCAGCAAAAAACATCTCGGAATTTCCTTTTGATCGATTAACCTCAAATTTTGCAGGAATTTGTTTTTTTTTAAATTTGGAACTGATGTGGGAATCCAGCCCAATTATTTTTTTTTTAATTTATACATGGTGTTTTCGAATGGGATGCCCCAAAACCTAAAATTTAAATATCTTTGAATTTGAAATAAACCTTTTTCTTTTCTTTTCAGAGCTGCCAACAAAATTTTAAATGTCAATTTTAAGATTAATTTACCATAACCCACAAATTAATCTTAAATTTGACATTTGACAGTTTGTTGACAGCTCTGACAGATTAAGGTTTATTTTTACAAAAAAAAGAGTAAAATGGTTGTCCTTGGACTTTAAGGTCTCATTTGAGGCTTACAAGCAAGGATTTAAATTAAGTGATTTTTGTATTTTAATCAATGATTTAAATCAGTTTTAAAAAAAAATTTAAAATCTAAAAAAACACTTAAAAGATCTAAAACTAAAGCACAATAATGTCTTGACACTATTTAAATAAATTCATATGCATAGAAAAACTGCCTATTTTGTTAAATAAAATAATAAAGGAGTATACAAAAAAATATGACAGTTGCGGACGGTGGTTTATTTGTTTATAAAGTAGTGCCAATATAATATTATAGTCAAGTTATTTTTAGTATTTTTCTTAATAGGGAGAATATATTGAGATGTCCCCCAAGTGAAAATGATAACTTTTTATTTTTGGTTGTTTCACTGTTAGTCTAGAATGGGGTCTTTGGGAAGCCACCAGTTCTAGTAATAACATAACATAAGTGGTTCTGGTTTTTTTAAAACATTCCTTTGTATATTTGCTTACGTGCCTCTGTAATTAATCTGGATAAACAGCACAAACCCGAAGCACAAGAATTGCAAACAACACAAAAATGCCTGACAAAATTTTGAATTTTGAAGACGTTTCATGAAAACTCCTCAAATGGAGCATAAATAAATGTTTTTTAACATGAACACATTTCTTTAGATATCAAACATGGCTGACGAGAATCGTATCTTTTTAGAAAAACTTTTCTCAAGTGGAAAGATTTAAACGCAAAAAAATTCTTTTACCTTTTTGTTTTAATATTTTTTTCTACTCCCACCTTTAAAACGCCCTTTATCGTACATGTTTCCATGACACTAAGCGACCATTTAAATACACATTGACAAGTTGTGGCTTTATGCCGTGACGGGCTGAAGTTAGCAACAGGTTTTAAGTCAAGGGCTGAAGTTAGTTTTAAGTTAGTTTACAGTTGTCAAATATCATACAATCGTTAAAATAAATTGCTTTTCTTGTAAAATAATACTAAATGTGAAAATTATTTTATTATCCCAATACAAAAATACAAAAGTATTAAATAATTCCTCAACGCCAATATTTGAAAAGTTTATATGAACATTGTACTGACCTTTTAATTTCGCCGGCAGTAAACTATAACTTAAATTCGGGCACGGACTCCACTGTAAAGTGCTCATTAAACATTTTCTTTACTTTCACTGTGAAAAACTGTCAATTTTCAAGAAATACATTTCGATTTATAACCTTTATAATTGTGTTTATAAAATATAAAAATTTAACATTTAACGGTGACATACAGATTGCCCTATTGTATCATAGATGGCGCTCTATACAAATTTTTGATTTAAATAATTTTAGGATAATAATAAGTATTTGTCGTAGGAAAAGTAGGTATAGTATGCACCTCGTTTATAAACTTTTCTATATAATATATATATATTAGAGTGTCCCTTATTTTTATTTTTTTTACGCATACCCTTTAATTATATTTATTACTTGTTTATATACTCCCAGTAAAAATTTCAGCTCATTCTATAAACGGGAACCCGTGCCGACTTGCATCTAAACCCTCCGTTAGCCAACGTTAGGCGCGCGCGGTATTTTGTAACACGAAACACTTTAAAAAGAAGATATACTTCATGACTGTATTTTTCTAATGATTTTATTAAATATGATTACTAATTAATGTTATTGCTTTTGTTTATATCATTTGTTTCACTAATTTAGTAGATTTTATCCCTTAAATATATTAATATACTAATTAGTATTGCCAAAATATACTGTTATATGAAATTTCAGCTTTTTATAAGCATTTCTTTTCTTGATGTCCTTCCAAAAATATTTCAGACAGTTCAATAAGTTTTCGGTAGTCATCTCTCACAAATTGTGAGTCACAATAGACTCTTTTAGTTATTTAGAGTAAAACCCATTAAGTTTATCAATTTCAGAGTTTACGGCCTATTCACCAGACCCTTCCGGGTAACTAGCCACTCCCTGTGAAAATATACATTTTTATCAAAGTATACACATAAATAAAACTATATTTTAACATTTGTCAATAATTTATAATATAAGGGTCACATAATAACAAACACAAAATGACTTACGATCGACCTCACGACCTAACGTTGGCTAACGGAGGGTTCAGATCACTGTGGTTCAGATGCAAGTCGGCGCGGGTTCCCGTTTATAGAATGAGCTGAAATTTTTACTGGGAGTATATAAACACGTAATAAATATTATTAGAGGGTATACGTAAAAAAAATAAAAATAAGGGACACCCTAATATATATATAATATAAAATGGCGTTTATCAAACTTAATACATAATATATTAGTATACACTATACACTGTATATACTATTTTATGAAGGGCATCTAAAAATTAATTTGGCACCGCCATGTTGGAAGAAAAGTATTTTTGAAAACTTTGTATATTTTTTTCTTCAAAAGATAAAAGTAATAGTAGTATGATAGATGGGAAGATGATGACAGCTTAGTTTTGTTAATTTTATAGTAAAAATGTCGTCGAGAAGAAGAAGCCGGAGTAGGGATAGAAAAAATGCCGCTTCTAAGCTTCGGATGGATACTAAACCAATGTCAGCCCGTATTACAGGTATACAACAACTTTTTAATAGCAAAAGAAAAAAATCCCATAAAAAGGAGGTTACCTAAAATAACCTAAAATAGATTGGAATTTCCGACATTTTATTATTATTTTTTAAAAACAATCTCGGAAATTTTGAGGTCGAGTGGAAATGATTTTTGTTTTTCGTTTCAGACCCCAGCTTGCCGGCAGGAAGAAGGAGGGAAATCGATAACGTAATGAAAAAAGCGAGGGCGCAAACATCGCCCACAGCCAACGAATTTTGGTCAAAAAAACTTTTGGAAGTAGAGGCTAAAGACCCTAACAGGTATGTTTTGCTTAACTGCATACGGATTTTCTCGTTTCAAAGACATTTTGATTTAATCAAATTCACGATCCGCACAACAAGGTCCATCTCGTTTCGCCGCATACTAAAATTCACAAAGTTAGGCAACCCACTGCGCAGACACTAACGACGGCCATTTTATTTTGTTCACAATCCACACAACAAGGTCTGTTCGATCTCGTAGTAAAAATACTAAAAATCACTGCAACACTGCACATCATTCAATGGCGGCCATTTTTGTTGTTTACAATTCTTGTGCTTTGGGTTTGTACAGATTAATAATCGTTTTAAACGTTCTTACAGAAAGACTTACAAGCCTTAAAAGACACCTCAAAGTGGTAAGAACAGTCATTTTACTCCTCTTTTGTAAGTTTGTGGGTTATAAAATAACCTTAAATTAACCTTCAAATTGACAGTTGATAGAATAAGGTTTTCCTTTTACAAAAGAGGAGTAAAATGATTGTTCTTACCACTTTGAGGTCTCTTTTAAGGCTTGCAAATGTCTCTGTAAAAAACACAACGTTTAAAACGATTGTGCTTTGGGTTTGTACAGATTAATAATTATTAATCTGTACAAACCCAAAGCACAAGAATTGTAAACAACAAAAATTGCCGCCATTGTATGATGTGCATTGTTGCAATGATTTTTAGTATTTTTACTACGAGATATAACAGACCTTGTTGTGTGAATTGTGGGTACCACTTTAACTGGTCCTAAATCAATGTTTAGTTTAATTTTTTTTCTGTTAAAATAATGTTAAGTTGTTAATTGCTACTTTTTCAAATGTGTATATTTACCAAAAAAAAATTTTTCAAGGCTTTTTTTTCGAAACTTTAAAGCCCTAGAAGAGAACCTTGAAAGGTAGGGTGGACCAAACAATATTTTTTTTGAGTTGGATTACACATTACGCGGCAAAAGTTGCGCATTAGTAAACAGTTTAATAATAATAAAAAACAAATTAAATATTTGATCATCTTCAGAGTCCGCATGTGAAACAAAAAATGGCATATAATTTGAAAAATATAGGGTAAGCTTGACTTGCTTTACACATTATGTACCAAAAGTTGCTTACCAAATTTTCGATCATCTTCAGAGTCCCCCATGAGAAAAAAGAATAGCAAGTTTTAAAAAACACCATATCTTTTTTAAGAGCAAAAAAACAAAAATGGTTTTATCTGTATACTAAAATAAGACTTTTGCAAGCTAATGTAAAGGGTGGGCAAAATATTTTTTTTTTCTTGACTTGCTTTACACATTATGTACCAAAAGTTGCTCATGACTATACGTTTAAAATAAAGAATTACCAAATTTTCGATCATCTTCAGAGTCCCCCATGAGAAATAAGAATAGCAAGTTTTAAAAAACACTATATATATATATATATATATATCTTTTTTAAGAGCAAAAAAACAAAAATGGTTTTATCTGTATACTAAAATAAGACTTTTGCAAGCTAATGTAAAGGGTGGGCCATCTATAAGTTGAATTTTAAACTACGTGCTATTAATGACGCTTTCAATTAAGCGCCATGAATTGTTGACAGTGGTCTAGTTTTAACCTTCCGATTACAAAATATGCACCGAATAAATTTGGATCAACGTTTCGAAATACTCAAAACTTACTTTGAATGTGACTGTGATCGCAGAGACGGCAAGAAAATTAGGGATGCACCGGAGTTACTGCCCACCTACTGCCTTCGGCCGATCCGGCCTATGCCGCAGCATATCCGGCTCCGGCCAAATTTTTAAACTGATCCGGCAACAACGGCCGGATTGTGGCCGGATTTTTTAAATTAAAAATAAAATATTTTTTTAAATGTTTATTTTAAAAAATATATATACAACAAACAATTTTTTTAGAAATAATTTAAAAATAGATTAAGGATTAAACTACATGATTTAAGTGAACATAAGATAACGAAGTCCTTAAGTTATAGTTCAAAAATTCGAGTTGTTCACCTTTCTCGGGAAGAAATCGGCTATGCGCAGTTAACAGGTGATCGTATCTATGCGCACTAACTAACAGACGCCGTACGTATGCGCAGTGGTTTTCAGATGGTTGTATTATACCTATTTTAATTATTGTACCTATGTTTTTTAATTTTTATAACTTTTAGATTAGGTATATTAATAAATAAAATTTATTTATTTTTATGTTACCTATTTATTATTTTTTTAAACGTTTTATAAAGATATACTTTTTAATATAATATTGGTTTTAAAAACTTTTATTTATTGATAAATATATATGTTTTTGTTTTTTCCCCTAAAACAGCTATTTAACGAACTCATTTGAGTCCGTAAAATAATTCTTTTTTTGTACTAGTACGAAAAAGTTGCTATGGAAACTTTTGCAAAATGGTTCTTGAACCATTGCAATACAACAATTAAAAATAAAATTCGATAACTGTCACTGACAGTGACTCACTGTCACTGTCAATAACCTTAATTTCGAGAAATAGGCATTTACTCTATTTAAAAATTTGAATATATGGACCTAGAACAAAAAAATGTTGTTTGCAACATGTACCTAAAAATCATGTTTTTTAGGACGAATCGTAGCTGTTTGCGGTCGAGGCGAAGCCAAAACCAGAACAGCCGATGTTACAAAAATAGCTATAATAATACGTATACGTATATAATACGTACTCTCTAAAAGTGAAACAGTGAAATTTTCACTATTTCCGTCAGTGAGTTATTATTCACTGTAAAATTAGTGTTTTTTATTATCACTACTTTTCCGGAACTCTCGACATAAAATAGTGAAATATTAACTTTTTTGAACTAAACCTATTTCACTAATTTGTACAGTGTAATTTCCACTAAATAAATTAGTGCAAAGAAATCGCTACATGAAAAAGTGAGTATTCACTAATTGCTAGTGGTATACATACTTATCACTGCGGCAAATAGTTAATATGAACTGTCAATCAGTGAAAATCCACTGTTTCATTTTTAGAGAGTAAATATATATCTATAATTTTATTACTTTTTAACTAATATAATATGTATGTATATATATATATATATATATATATATATATATATATATATATACATATTATATAAGTTTTAACGCGCCAAAATAACAAGTAGATACATGACAAAAACCTGGTGTAAAATTACACAAGACAATGCGCCACCTAATAATGATTACTTATAAGGTGGGCAGGTACCTAAAATATAAACACTTGTATTTAATTGTAATACGACTAGAATGCATGCGTTAAATGCAAGGTCTGTCAATTTTTCTCCTTGTTTTAAAAGACAAATGTTAATTAACTTGTATTGTTGGTTGCCTGTTCGGGAACAGGATCCCCACATACCACATCAACACGTAATTAGTAACTAATTGCAAGATTTGCATAATACTGAAACAGAAACTGCACCTGCCTGTGAAAAAACACTGTAAGATCCGGCCGACTCCGGCGAAATCCGCCAAAATCCGGCCGGAGTTAATCCGGCCGATGACGCCGGATTACTGCATCCGGTAATCCGGCCAAAATCAAATCCGGTGCATCCCTAAAGAAAATTGCGTTTGGAAGAAATGAGGCGCCGTCAAACCAAAGTATTACAAATTTGATCAAAAAATTGCGCAGAAATGGAATGCTGGTGGACATAAAACATGTTTCGCATGCTCGTCCTAGACGTACACCTGAAGCAATCGCTGCTGTGGCCGAAAATGTACGCAAGTTATAAAAATAGCCCCAACTTTTTTCCGAGATAATATTTTAAAGATAATTTAAATCGTAGAAAAATCGTAGAAAAAGAATCGTGCGTTTTCTTGGTTGCCTAACCTCACTTTTTGTTTTATTATTCATATTTAATTTTACAATAATTTAATGAAAATATTAAACATTAACAGTAAAACAAATTATTGCTTATTATAAATAAATTAAGCAGTTTAGTATGAGGCGCCGTTTGTCCGTAAATTATTTTTGCTATATATAAGAATATTTTTTATATATAAACTTTAAATTTCCTATATTATATAGAAACTTTTTAGTTCAGATAACGCCGCTTGAGAATGAGGGCGCTTTGCGGTTCCATCCACTGTTGCCAGCAGACTCTGCTGAGCAGAGACTTGTCTCTGGTTGCCAGAGTGTGCCAATGCAAAGTTTTGGTCAGTGTTTCCAACATAACGTTTCGCCAGATCTAGCAGATTTTAATAAAGGTCGAGGGAAAAAAGATACTCTTACGGCTGACGGATTTTTTAACGGAAACTTGAACATAATATCGAATGGTATTTGTAAGTACCTATATAATTTAATTTGTAAGAGTCCAAGTTAAAAAAAAAAGATTCTTTGTTTTTTATAAATTGACAAGAGAATCAAAACGTAAGAAATTTTAGTTTTTTTAAATACCCATTAGTAAAAACGAAGCCGTGTTTATTTAGAGAAATAGAGACGGCCAAAGAAGAGAAATGTTTTCTTCAATAAAAATAGACCAACCGACCAATATATTACCTATAAGTATTTAAAAAAACTAAAATCCTATGCTTTTTGCTATCATTTTGTTCCGCTAGATCTGGCCGAAGATCCGTTATGTTGGAAACACTGACCAAAACTTTGCATTGGCAACAGTGCTTTTTAGTTGAATACCACAGAGCGCCCTCATTCTCAAGCGGCATTATCTGAACTAAAAACTAATTACTTGCCTCATAAAATTTTTTATCGGCCTAGGCCATAACAAGGTATTTCTTTATCGAATGTTGACAACAATAAAGTTTAAATTATAGACCGCGTGGAGATAAAATACATTATTGTTGTCAATAATTAATTTCTGAAATTCCTTGATTAAAATACTCTTGTCAAATTTCAATTTACTTTAAAACTAAATATAACTATTTTTATTTCCTAAATAATAATTTATAAAAAAATTTATCCTTTTGTCAAATCTTATAATGTTTAAAAACATTTGCAGTTTCTTTAAAACAGAATTAAATTAACGGCGGCAAATAAATCAAATGTGGCGGTAGTTGGATGTGCGCATAAAGCCTAGTCCAGACCTACATACATTTGCCCGCAAACAAATGTTTGGAAACATTTGCCGCCAAACAAAACATTTATACACTTGTGTGTGGTGTTTTGTTCTTTAAACATTTAGTTTAAACAAAGTAGCAATTAG